AGAGGTAAAGAAGCTTGAGCTAACAAAGTAAGACCGGTTTCAACGATATGTCTATGTTTGCGTTCTACAATGCCATTTTGGGGCGAAGTGTATGGACAAGTGAGCTTGTGGATGATGCCATTTCTAAGGAAATGGGATTTAAGCAAGTTGAACTCTGTGCCATTATCAGTTTGAACTTCTTTAATTTTCCTATTAAAACGTCTTTCTGCCATTGCTTGAAAATTAAGAAAAGCTTGAGGTGAATCAGATTTGTGAGCAAGGAATGTAATCCAGGTGAATCGTGTGTATGCATCAACAAATGAGATGTAATAAGAAAAACAAGAAGAGTGTATAGGGGCAGGACCCCAAAGATCAACCTCAATAAGTTCAAGTGGCTTAGTATAAACAGTATGCGAATTCTTGAAAGGTAACTTGTGCATTTTCCCCATGTGACAAGCAGTACATGATTCAAACATGCTAGCCTTTGAAAAGGAAGCATTACAATCTTTCAAACAATGATGAACTACATCAGGGGAGGGGTGTCCTAATCTTCTATGCCACAGATCATAAGAGTCTTTGGATGAAGCTAAATGACAGGAAGGAAAAAAACTATTGCAAGCAGAAGCTGAATGTGAAGCAAAACTAGAAGTTGGCTTGACTTGAGCTGCTGAGTTTGAGGAAGACTTCTGAAGTGAGGAGAGATTCAAAGGATAGAGACCACCATACTCATGTGCTTGAAGTAGCATCTCCTTGGTGACCAGATCCTTCACAGAACAATGGAGAGGGAAAAAATTCGAACATTACATTGTTGTCCTTAGTGAATTTTGAAACAGACAATAAGTTCTTTGTAACTTGTGGAGCAAATAATATATTTGACAAGAGAAGAGGTTTAGAACTTGTAAGAAGAGAGGATTGCCCTGTATGAGTAAAAGGAAGAGAGTTTCCATTACCTACTATAATAGTACCTGAGCCTGTGTAGTGTGAGGCATTGTTCATATTGGCTGTATCATTAGTAATATGGTGAGTGGCTCTCGAGTTTGGGTACCAGGCACTGTCATTGACAATTTCTGGAGTGGCTATGTGTGCTTGTGGAGTGAGTTGTGAGCTTGAGAAGCAAGTACCATTACCGTAATTATGAGAGCTAGCCATATTAATAGGAGTAAATGGAGGTGGGGTGGAAATCTGAGAGTAGGCAAATCTAAATGGTGAATATGTTTGTGTAGGGGTAGTGGAAGGAGGATTGAATGGAGAAGGGCTTGGTTGGTAGTGATGAGAAGGATAAACATGTGAAGGTTGTTGAACTGGTGGTGCTGGAAGAGGTTGGCCAGGAATAAGACCGGTAAAGCTAGGGTCAAACTTATAGAAGCATCGATTGACAAGATGTCCTAATCTCCCACATAACTGGCATTGATGCCTATTACCTCTCCCACAACCTCTTCCTTGGAAGGGAAAACGTATGGTAGGTTGTGGAGAACTTTGGTAACTTGGAGGCTGATAAGGGGGTAGACCATGAAGTGAAGGTTTTGTAGAGATGGGAGTTGCTTGGTTGCTAACAAGGTTAGCAGAAACAGTGAGATGGATAAGGCTATCTTGTTATCGAGCCTCTGCGTCAAGTAGCACACTAGTCACCTGTTGAACAGTGAAAGGATGTTGACTAGCAGTGATTACAACAATCACTGGCTCATACTCTAGGGTAAGTCCAGTAAGAATGGTAGCAAGGTGAATCGAATTAGAAACTCGTTCACCACAACTAGCCAATGAGTCACAAAGAGATTTGATGCCAGAGAGATATTCACGCATACTTTTGTTGCCTTTACGTTGGCCCTTAAGCATACTGTGAAGATGCATAATTCTAGTTGTGGTTTGTGTGTCAAAGATCTGGGTGAGTGTTTTCCAAATGGTAGCAGAGGTTGTCAAACCAACAAGGGAAGGAAGGAGGCTTGGACTGACTGAAGCAAGTAGCCAAGATGCAAGGGCACTGTCTTGTTGCTCATAGGTAAGGAACTCAGGATTTGGGAACTCTTTGCCATTCTCAACAATGGTGGTTGGAGGAACAATGAAAGAGTCATTCAAAAGGTAGTGGAGATTGTGACTCCTGATTGTGAGTGAAATTTGTTGTTTCCATAACATGTAGTTGTGTTCATTAAGTTGAAGACTCACCTTCTTAGTGGAGAACAATGGAGATGTAAGAAGAGTTGAAGAAGACCCAAGAGGTGTTGTGTTAGTAGCTGAATCAGAACTAGAGGAAGATGGCATGTTGAAATATCAAGAAAAGGATCAAAAGTGAAGGAGTAAAAAAAGAATCAAAGGCAAAATGGGAAACTTGCAGCAGAGTAAAGAAAAAGGTTGCAGCAGAGTAATGAAAAAAAAAACTTACAGTAGAGTAATGATAAAAGCTTGCAACAGAGTAATAAGAAAAGCCCTAAGAGACTGATGGGTTAAAAGTTTGTCTGCTAGACAAAAGGCACTGATACCATTTTAGTCTAATTAAAGTGGACACAAAAACAAATATGGCAGCAGAAGAATATCCTTTCTTATTCATTTATGAGTATTACAGTGGGTGCTATATATAGCACTTAGAGTAACCACGTGTCTTAACATGAGAGGAGAATGCAAATACAATGACAACTGTATAGTATAATGGATAAGAACAAACAAACTATGTCGTTTTATGAAATAGAAACAACTACTAATCTACTATCTCTAATAATAACATAACTAAAATCTCAATAAATAAAGAATTCAATGAACATTAAAATATAAAAAATTAAATAACTTAAATTTAAACTCAACATTTTATATATTAAAATAAAAGATAAAAAAAATCAATTGCTTATTACGAGTAACACACCCATATAAAAATATTCAAAGTCAAACTAGCAAAAGTATAAAATGTTGTAGAAAGATATGTATGAAGAGTCATGGGAGGGGGGAGGGGAGGGGGGAGAGATAATATATTAAAAATATAATGAAGTAATTAGATAATACACATATTATTATCCATAAATTTAAATTGAAGAGATGTGAACAACAAAATAGATTTGTTTTATACAAGAAGAACATTTGTCAATTATATATTAAGTCAAGTGATAAGCTAATAAAAATCAATATTAACAATTTAAAACATGATTCATTAGCTCTATTCATATAGATTTGATTACGAGGGATTGAGGGTGGGGTGAGGTGAGCATGGGGTGGGAAGAGAGGAAGTATATTTCATTGAGGAACAATATAAAAGTAAAAAAACGGAGTCTGCTGAAAATTTTCGCCTTCCACGACAATCCTCGCCTTTCACGGCATATTGAAAACAAAACAAATAGTTGAACTTTTTTTCTCTCCAAAGTAATATCATTTAACATGTCCAAACAAGACATTTCAATCTTAAATGCTCAGAAGTAATATTTTAATATTATATGCGCACACGCGGGTACGTATACTAGTTAGTTTTTTAGAAAACAAAAGTTTCTTTTAATTGTTTTTTTATCCACACGTTATTATCCACATGAAATTAATATTTTTTTTTAAAAAATGATATAAATACACAACTTAAGATATCATAATCTCTGAAGTTTTTCATCATTTAAAAAAAAATTACAAAATCTCTTTTCGCCTTTGTTGAAACAACAGCTTGTGTTGAAAAACAAGTTATGTAGTAAATGTATAGATTTTAATTTGTTTTTTAGTTCCATAACAAGAAAAAAGGCAAGTCTTTTTCAACTCCATAGCTTTTATTTTACTGCAAAGAGAAAATGGGAAATTGAATAAAAAAATAGAATGGAAAAACTATAATTAAGTTATAAAATATGATGTGTTGCCCTTTTAAGGCAGAACCCATTAGTAAAGGTGCACACACATTAACACCTACACTAAAGTTCCAATTATGCGAGGTGAAACGCAAAAGCTAGGCTTCATCGAGCTTTGGGGCTTAAGAGTGCTTTAAGTGAACCTTAATGTCACGACCCATTTGTTATGTCTTGTGAAATGAAGTTGTAGTTGTTATCTCCTATATTCAGATTAGCAAACCAGAAATAATAAAAGATGAAAAGAAAAACACAAAGAACTATTCGAGTCCACAAAACCCACTGTGTGTCCTTAAGAAATTTAATCCCCTCAAGCACCCGAGGTTGCAGATTAATTCCTCCCAAGATAAAACGGATTAACCATTAAAGAAGTAGCGGTACCTCAAACTTCGATAATTTCAACGAACTCAAAATGACAGCAACGAATCACACACACAGACACATCGATCGATTTTGTTTTGTAAGAAATGAATGCAAAAGAAGGGAAGAATTCGATCCAGAAAAATGAGAGAAAGCCTCTCTATTTATAGCCAACAAAGGGTAAAGGTCACAACCCTTTGGAAAGAAGACAACCTTTCAGAAAGGTCACAACACTTTGGAAAAGGCATAACCTTTCAAACAATCACAACCCTTTAGAAAGGACACAACCTTTCATAAAGTTCACAACCCTTCGGCATAGTCACAACTCTTCAGGAGAGTCACAACCCTTCATTTCCTGTTCATACCTTTAAAACCCAACAGTAGTATCCTAGGTTACATACTTGGACCAACAACAACGTACACAAATGAGGTTTGGAGAGCGTTGGGTGTACACAAATTTTATATAAAGACCAAGGAAGAATGCTATCCTTTATATAAGTCTAATAATGGACTTGAATGCAAGTACCACTAATATAATGTTTCATCAAAGAGATAAGTGTTAAAACACCCTTGAACTTGGCACAATATTATTAGTTCCATCCCCGAATTATTGATAGCTTTAAAAGCACCCCTTTACCGCAAGGAAGTTTCGAGGGAATAATCTCTTATGACTACTCACAAATTGAGTAGATGAAAATAACTTTTTTCATAACTCTAACGCGCATGTAAAAATGAAAATCTCTTGTAAAACGAACATAAAACTAAAACAAATTTATAAAGAATTACAAACCAAATCTCCCAAAAGTCTTCATGTGGTTTTAGCGTAAATTAGAAAAAATATATAATAAAACCTAACGCAAGAATGGGAAAAGTCCTCAGAATACAATAAGAGAGAATCACAATTTGATTTTTATTGCTGTTTTGAGGAATTAATTTATAAGACAAAGTTCCAAATTATTCCAAAACAAAGAGAAATTAAACTCTATAATAAGCTGAAGGGGAGTAATTGTAAGGATCACCAAAAACTGCAACATTGCCTGGCCTTGAAAATACAATCTACAAACATAAAAACAACATTCTTTAAATGAAGTAGTTCACATAATTCAACGTGATATCAGAGCAGATCGAGAGGAGGTTATATGTCATCAATATTTATCTTTCGAACATTGGGAAAATTAGGTAATCAACATTATTGTCCAAACAAACAATAAAATATTTTCAATGATTTATCACCATATGTATATACCTGATAATCTCCTATCGTGCACGTTTTGAATCCAGCAGCACAATAGTGAAAGTAGTACTCCCATGTCCTGATGAACTTGTCATCGAATCCCAAAGAACGAATTTGACTAGTGACAGTACAGTTAACAATGTTCAAGTATCTGATCAAAGCTAGAAATGATTCATGAAAGAAACGGTTTTAACTCGTGGATTCATATAGGTATAGTTACCTTTTGTTTTTCAGGAAGTTTTCTCGCCAACATCTCAGTGTCTGGTAGTAATGAATTCCTATCTCCTCCAGGTGCTCGACACTGCATTCATATCATTCGATAAATGATTTTAAAAAAGAAATGGTTTTGAAAGTGTGACAAGCGCGCTAACTAGTGCAAAATCACAAAATAAACTGTTTGTTACCATAGTCTGGATGCAGCAGCCATGGCTGATGTCACTCGACTTAGTGTGGGCAAGCATCCACCTGGGAATATATACTCTTTTATGAAGTCTGAGCTCTGCCTATATTCTTCATACCTCTCGTCTGGTATTGAAATGAACTAAGGGAAGCCAACACAGCTTGTGAAAAGTGATAAAAATTAAAGGAAAAAATTTGAATGTGCATTAATTACCTGCAGGACTAGAAGTCCATCTTCTGCCAATGCAGAGTCACAGCAAGTAAAGAATTCCCCTATGAAATCATGACCAACATGTTCTAACATCCCACTGAAAATGATAATTAGTACGATTGTAATATTGGCTCGATATGTAATAGGTAATACAATATATTCAGACAGAGATGGATACCATGATATAATCCTGTCATATTTGTCCTTATTTGGGATTTGGCGATAGTCACATAGGAGAAATGTTATTTGATCCTGCGGAAAAGTTTCGTTGAATTAAAATTTTAATAGATAACGCTAACTTTGAAATTGCCAGAATTTGGCTTCAAGTGTTATATAGTAGTGTTCTCCTGTTTATCTTACAAGTACAAATAAATTCCAAACTCGAAAAATTTTGAGCTTCTATAGACATTGTAAGTACTAAGTACTAACTCCGACTGTGTGAGCTTTGCTCATAATGCCGGTCCCAAGCTCATATCAGTTAATCTTTTGCAACTTCTCTGGCCTGATTCAAACTGTGGAAATAACCTCTTGCAGAAATGCAGGGTAAGGTTGTGTACAATAGACACTTGTGGTCTGGCTTTGATTTGCAATGAAGCTTTTTTATGGAGCTATTGAAGTTTGGCAAGAAAGAAAATGAAAAAGAAGTTTAGTTCATGAAGTGTGTTAGTTCCTTCTTGGTTGTGACTTGTGTTGTTCATAGAAGAAAATCCTCATCAAATGTTCTCAAAATAGGCATCAACGAGAATGAAATGTTAGTCATCTAGACAAACTAGAATGAAATTCCAAACTCAAAAAATTTTGAGCTTCTATAGACATTGTAAGTACTAAGTACTAACTCCGACTGTGTGAGCTTTGCTCATACTGCCGGTCCCAAGCTCAGATAAAGGAGGAGGGTTGCAGTAGGTTGGAAGCCAACATAAAAAATGGCAATTCGTGTATGTACTATACCTGAAGGCCTGCTTGCTCAACGCTCAACTGTGCATACTCCAGTTGCTGCTCCGAGAGAGTTATTCCAGTATATTTACATCCTCTTTGCTTGACAACTTCCATAGCCAAACTTCCCCAACCAAATCCAATCTCTAAAATGTGATGTTCTGCGGTAACCTTTGCCTAAACAGAATAAAAGCAAAATCAAATTATGCCTGAAATTTGTGTAGAAATGGGAGGGATTGATAACTTACCTTACTAATGAGACGACTAATCTTTCTCAGCTGCGCATCTTTCAGGTCTTCATCCTCACTCTAGAAAATATAAGAAACTAGATCACCACGGAATGAGATTAGAGAAAAGGAAGTGTAGCAAATATCTAAATTTGAAAGCTAACCTTGAATATTGCACATGAATATGTCATTGTCTCATCCAGAAAGAGTGAGAAGAGTTCATTACTCTGAAAACAAATATGCGCAGGTTTGAGAATTTCATTTCACTAGTGATCTTTGACATCCCCTACATGCGCATAGTTCATGGATAGACACCTTAATTTGGCCTCAACTGACAACTTAACACTTTAACTTTGAGAATGCACATCTAGACACCTCAAGTCGTCTCCACTGTATCAGTTGAACACTCCAACTTACAAAATGATCCTCTAGACACCTCCAAAATTTATTTGCCACATCGGTGTCAGGTGTCCACGCAACTCAGTGGGGACGAGTTAAGGTGTCTAGATGTGCATTCTCAAAGTTTGAGTGCTTATTGCCAGCTTGATCATCAAGTTAAGGTGTCTATCTATGTACTATGCCTTTTTTTATAATCGAGAAATCCCCTAGGACCAATGACACACGGTTCAAAACTTGATAGATAAGGGGGGCCCCCATATACCCTTCTCTACTTAAATATCAGGCTTTGTCTGCAACAGTGGCGGAGCCAGAATTTTTAATTAGGGGGTTCAAAATTTGAAGAAATAGACACACGAAGTAGACTAAGGGGGTTCGACATCTACTATATATACATAAAAAATTATTTTAACCATGTAAAAATAATATAATTTTCCGCCGAAGGGGGGTCGGATGACCCCCCTAAAGATAGGGTGGCTCCGCCACTAGTCTGCAACAGGCCGAACCCACACATCATGGGTTGTGCTCTTTCCACTAGACCAAAGCTCTGGGGCTTGACATCCCCTACATGCTTTGGGTCATGATATAATATGCAAGTCAATTACCAGGTCATAATGGCGAGAAATATTCCGACGAGCCTGAGTCAGAGTATTATGATTGGAAACGTGTTGAATGAAATATTTTGCAGATGACAGTGCTGCTGTAAAAAGCAATGGTGTCCACCAACCTCTAGAGCCATGCAAAATGAGAATAACTTGAACATGAGAATAACAGAAGTTTATATTTATTTATTTCAGGTCAGTAAACTATTACCTTTTCTTGCTAGACCTTTTAACAGATGCTTTCATATCTCTGTTGGCAACAAATATCTGTAAAGGAATTCAGAAAGATAAGTACTAAAAACTATTAACGAAGATATCGAGTCATTTCCTCTCATAAGAAGACCTTCATTCTTATCAACAAAAGAGAAATCCCCATGAATAAAGGCATCAGCAAGGCCTAGGTCAGCTTGAGTTGCAACCTGTAAGAGATTATCTATGTCACAGAATTTGTCTAGATTGAGAAACTTTTTAAGTTTTATCGATCGATAACTTGTAGGGGGCGGCATAAGAAAATTTAAATTTACCTTCCAGTAAAACTGTGTACTATGGATTCTAAGCAAAACTTTGAGAGAGCATTTCCTATCTGTTCCTTGGAAAGTGAAAATTGTACCTCCTTCTTCCAACAAGCTGAATATAGAAATATATAAAGTTATTATACAGATATCAACTATTAGAAAGAAAAAACTTAGAAATCTCCGAGTAATATTCGCATGAATAATTAAGACCATTCTGAAGCTATGTATAATTGAAGGAATAATATAAAACTAAAAGCATAATAAATTGCGATTCACTTGTGATTTGTTCTGCGACATGGTTTTTGACTTGCTATTTTCTACCAGTCAAATAGCAAAGATCATAAATGTAGTAAATGAACAACTTGTTGGTTTTATCTGCCACTAATTGGATTAAATCAATACAATGTGAAACTATCATCACTCACATTATGCATCCAGTTTCAATGAAACTTTTGAGAAATCTAGTAACGAGGAGGCGTGCTCCTGTTTCAGTCCAGGTTGGCACCATGTGCTTGGGATTGTCCAGAATACGACATTTCCTTCTAAGCATGCCATCTGCAGCAGCCATACCCGCCTGCGGAGGACCAAAAGGTAGACAATCATCTAAATGAGACTAAAGGGACAACAAAATGTTTTCAGAGTAAGGTCATCCTTCAAGTTAAAATCTGTTGAGCTTTTATTAAAAGTAGTACTACCTTTAGTCCATCCTCATGGAAACCGTAGCCTGAAAGTATTGCAATAAACATATGTCAATAAACAGTGAACACAAAGAGGAAAATAAAGTCTGTGTGAAGCAAAGACTAAAGTCAGAACAACTCAAGCTACAAGTGTTACCAGTAACTTTCTGTTAACCTTATGTGGAAAAAATGGCATGAGTAAACCTAGACACTAGGTTGTTGTGCTCATTCACTGGCATTGAGCAGAAATGGAAGGAAAACAAAAAAAGGAGATTCATACCTTGATATGTTCCACAAAACCATATTCCTCTCTTCCCTTGGATTTGATGTAGCTCATTTGATGCTTTTGATGCAGCAACTGAGGGGACTAGGTGGCTTGTTGTCCATTTAAGCAACATATGTTCTGGTTCGCGAGGAGGATCGAGGGTTACGAGATAAGGCAGGTTTGAGTCACCAAGATTCTGTAAGTTTAGATAGCTCATAAATTAAGAGAGCAGTTACAAGAGGAAACACTGCCCACTAAAGAACATCTTCTTCTGCTAGGCTCCTAAAGAATTGAATTGAGTAACACACCTGCATTATATTGAGGGAATATGTGACACATGATCTATCATTCATGGTTCCAAGAAAGTTACAAGCACTCCATGCTGCCAGATTGCGAGGCAGGAATGTTTTGTCACGATGAAGAAAAATATCACTGTCATAGAGGAAGAGAAATGAATTTTGCAATATGACTACGGTTCAGTCCACCAACTCACTTCTTTCAAACCAGGCAGCAGGAGAAGTAAAATGAAAGAGAAAATCAAGCCAAGGTGATCAGATAATGGAGAGGGAAGTACCTATAGATGTACTGAAAAGCACCTAGTATTCTTGTTTCATCATATGTTGCCTCTTTGCCTAACATTTTCAGAGTATCTGGAGCATGTGCAGCGATTATGCATCCGTCATATACTTCTGTGGCACCATCAGTGCAAGCTATGGTACAACCTGCAAGGGGTTTTTCTTTTACACTGTAGAATCACGAGTAGCGAGTAGCTATGTGATGGCAACACAATATTGATTGAAGCCTTTTCTTTAAGTACCAAGCACCAAATTAACTCTACCTAGACCACTGTCACTTGAAAAAATATCATAAAATGAAGTATAAACTAAGAAGCACCTGTTCTTATACAAATTAATAGGCTAGAAGCAAAGATAACCTAGTCAACCTAACGGTTTGATCTTCAGTCAGATCAACTATTGTCTTTTTATTACAACGGATATATCCCTTTCTACAATTATGATAAAAGGTACGAGGCATGATGCACCAACATACACTCAAAATTGGCCTGACAAGTAAGCACTCCAACTTTGAAAATGCACATCTAGACACCTCAACCCGTCTCTATTGTGTTAGTTGAATACTTCAACTTACAAATGATCATCTTGACACCTCTAAAATTTATGTGTCACATCAGTGTCGGGTGTCCACGAGACATAGTGGAGACGAGGTGGAAGGTTTAGTTATCAGTTGAGACCAAGTTGAGTTGTCTAGATGTGCATACTCAAAGTTGGAGTGATTACTTGTCAGCTGAGGCCAAGTTTGAGTGCATGTTTATGCATTAAGTGAAGAAACACCACAAAAAACTCTTGCAAGATGCCACATATAAACCAAGTTACACCTTCTTCATTTGTCGATACAGAATTTACTTCACAACCAGTTCTTATTTGGCAGCCTCTCTTCTCCAGCTCTTCCTTAACCTGCATCAAATCAGTACTCTAAAAAATGATACATGCTTAACAAATCATACAAGAAAGTGAAAATTGGTAAATTGCCTGAAGTTTTCCTCAGGGAAACAATAAAAACATTGTGGTATCTATGAATGAAAAATCACCTTATTTACATATGTCTGTGATCGCCATCTTACAGTGAGCAATTCATGAGGGAGATCAAAGATCTGCAAAGAAAGAAACAAAAGCATCCTTAGTCACAAGGACAATACAATGATATATGTAAGCATTCAAATTCAGTCTCTTGTATGCAACACACGAAGTACGGTAATTGAACAGTGGATAAGAGGGAAAAACCTGCAGAAGATGGTGGTCGCGGAAGAATAAAAGAATGTAGTAAGCAGAAAAGCTCAATACTTCTGCTAAGGGACAGGACCAGATTGAAGCACATATTGGAATCTGTCAAACATGAGTGAATTTCCTATAGCAAGAACAGTTTGTTGAAAGAACAAAAAGGCCATTATACAAGTATGGACATCAAATAAATAAATACGAAAAACAGCAGTGTCACCAGATAAGCCTTCTGAAATAACTCTGAATACCCACGTGACTTAATAAATTGCCCTAATGTTTCATTGCGATCAATGTCAGGATTATTGTCAACTTCTTCAAGGTAACTGCAATGTAAACATATTCATGATGAAATAAACTTCATTAGCTCAAAATACCTAGACTATTCTACAACATGAACTTGTAATTTTGATTGTTACATTTTCTATTACTAATGTGTTTCATAGAATGTAGATATATCTTTTGAACGAGTCTACATAAATTAAGATGGGACATACATGCTCAAAACTAGTAAAGTAAAAAAGGTGAAATAATTGAGTGACCTTCTGAGTGCGTGCTACAGACATAATTAAGTGATTTTTCTATTACAAACAAAAGAAACATGAATTTACTAGATGGTTTGAAATAGTTGAGTGATTATTTTAGTAATGAACTCATTCATGGAATTGATTACTAATAAGAAGTGACATGTATAAAGATAAGTTATCGATCAGTACCTTATGACATCCTGCTTGAATATGATGATTTCTCTAATCATTTGCAAAAAATATGGATTCAAGAGATTCTTCTGCTGTGCAAACAAACTAGAGAATCCCTTTCGAGTACCCCATTCGCAACCATGGCCTTGGTCTAAGCTCACTGAGAATGACATATGATAGGTCTCCATATCAACTCCAAGGCACTCAAAATATTCCATCATGTATGGATAAGTTACCTGTCAAATACAGCATCCAAAAGATGGGGTTAAACCAACTCTAGCTACAAACATTTCCAATGTAATGAGTTGATTTCTCAAATGGTCACTCAACTAATAGTTATTAGCTCAGAAAGTCATATGGAGATTCCTATGTCTTTCTTTCATCCTCTCTGTCTTGGCCTATGGCAATTGGTCTTACTAAGATGAGATGCATTTCGTTTTCCTTTTGTTAGTTAATCAGTCGGGGCTTTAAGAAGAAAATTGACTTAGAAAATCGAGTTTATTGTTGGTTTTCGGGTCTTTTTCCTTTCCTATGTGAATAAATAAAAGTCATACTTGGACCAGCCCACTTTTGCCCATAAGTCCAATATTTTGTGGCATATATAAGGCTTGTTTAGGTCTTATTTTCAGACACACAAGAGAGAGCCGTTTTAGAGATTGAGAGAATTAGAAAAAAACTTTGTTTGCTACAAGAAATTTCTGCTCAGGCAATCCGCTTTAACAGAGTTTGTCGCTTTGTTAACCATAAGATCGTGCTCAAATTTGAATTGAAAGTTCTCAGATCCTGATTGTTGCATTTCAATGGTGAAGATCGGATTTGGTTGTCTGTTGTAGCTTCTGATTTTGGGGAGTGAGCAGTAGCTCTTTTTTGAGTGAATTCTCTCCTTTAATTCTCTAGTTTTGGTGCAATCTTGTTTCGTTGTTGCTCGTTGATTGACATTTGTTTTGTTGCCAATTTTGGAGAACAATATTGTAACTCTTGGTGATTATAGTAGAGCTTTTGGTCTCATGGTTTTTACTCTTCACATAGTACGGTTTTTTTCCACGTAAATCTTTGTGTCTTGTATGGTTGGTTTGTTCTTGTCTTGTTGTTTTTGTTTGGTTGATACACTTGATGTCCATTCTTTGCAGTGTGTGATTTAGTTTCTCTTCTCTTGGTTCAAATTGAAAGAAAAAGTTTAGATTTAGATATTAATCCGTTGTTATTGTGTCAGACATTCTTTGTTAGTGTCTAGCCTTTTTCCAATGAGTGGTATCAGAGCATTAGTTGCTATTGTTGATTATCGATTTAAATGATGAAGGCAAATATGATCAAGATAGTTTGTTTGAATGGTAGTAACTATCATACTTGGAAAGACAAAATGAAAGATATTTTATTTGTCAAGAAGATGCATTTACCAGTATTTGCTTCTAATAAACCTCAGTCCATGACGACTAAAAAATGAAAATTTGAGCACTTGCAAGTTTGTGGCTATATCAAACAATGGGTTGAAGATCATGTTAGAAATCACATTGTGAATGAGACACATAACATAAGTTTGTGGGACAAGCTCGAGACACTTTATGCTTCGAAGACTAACAACAATAAGTTGTTTCTATTGAAACAATTGATGAACATCAGGTATAAAGAGGTCACTCATATTTTTTATCATATTAATTATTTTTAGGGTGTTCTTGACCAGCTATCCGAAATGAATGTAAAGTTTGATGAAGAGATACAGAGACTTTGGCTTCTTAATACTCTAGGAGACTCTTGGGAAATTCTTTGACTAATTCTTCTCCTAGTGGTGTTGTAACTATGGTATATGCTAAGAGTGGTGTCTTGAATGAAGAGATGAGAAGAATATCTCAAGCCTCATCTTCTTCAACTTCAGACTCTAATGTTTTGGTTACGGAAGATAGGGGAGAAACAAGTTCAGAGATCATAATGATAGAGGTAAAAGTAGAAGCAAGTCGAAGTCCAAATATAAGAATACTATTTGTGACTATTGCCACAAGAATGGACATATCATGAAATATTGTTATAAGCAAAAGAGAGACATGAGATAACAAAATAAAGAAGACGATAATGAAAATTATGTTGTTGTTGTTGCTAATGATGATCTTCTTGTTTCTTGTGATGAAAATGTCGTTAATCCTGTTCTTGATGAGTCTAGCCGGTTTGTGGATTCTGGTGCTACTTCTCATGTCATGCCCAAGAAAGAATTATTTTCTTTTTATACTCCAGGTAATTTTAGGATGCTGAAAATGGGCAATAATAATGAGGTTGCAGTTCTTGGCACTAAGTCAGTTTGTTTGGAAAGTAACAATGGTTCCAAATTATTTCTCAATAATGTCAAACATGTTCCATATGGTAACTTGAATTTTATTTATTTGGGTTACCTTGATGATGATGGTTATGTTAATACCTCAGTGCTGGCCAGTGGAAGCTTACTAGAGGTTCGATGGTTATGGCTCGTGATGTCAAGTTGTCTAACTGGTATGTATTTCAGGGCTCCATCTCTAGAGATTCAGTAAACTTGATGGAGAATGATACTTTATCAGAGTTATGACACAGAAGGCTGAGTTATATGAGTGAGAAGGGGATTGCTAGTTTGGCTAAGAAAAAAAATGCTTTCTAGAGTGAAACAAGCAAAGTTGAAAAAGTGTTTACTAGCTAAGCAATGAACACACTTCTTCAACTTTTCTTGTTTCACTCCAAAAAGCAAATTTTTCTTAGTCAAACTATCAAATCCAGAAAGTTTATTGAGTTTCTAAAGATGGAGCCCTAAAATACATACAAGTTAGACAACTTGTCACCACTAGCCACAATCATCGAACCTCTCATAAGCTTCTGCTAGCCAACACCAAAAATATTAACATAACCCTCATCATCAAGGTATCCCACAGAAATTAAATTCAAGCAAACATCTGGAGCATGCTTTGAAATTATTGAGAACTAGTTTTGAACCATTGTTACTTTCCAAACAAACTGTCCCAATGCCAAGAACTGCAACCTTACGATTATTACCCATTTTCAGCATCCCAAAATTACCTAGAGTATAAGAAGAAAATAATTCCTTCTTTGGCGTGACATGCGAAGTAGCATTAGAATCCGCAAACAAGCTAGACTCATCACGAACAAAATTAACAACATGCATTTTCATCACAAGAAAGAAGACGATCATCATTAGCAACAACAACACGATTTTCATTATCTCTTTCTTTCTTTTGTTGTCTCATGTCTCTAGTGCTTGTAACAATATTTTATGATATTTCAATTCTTGTGACAATAGTCACATGTAGTATTCTTGTATTTGGATTTCAACTTGCTTCTAATTTTACCTCTATCATTCTGATCTCCAAACTTGTTTCTCCTCTATTTTTAGTAACCAAAACATCAGAGTGTGAAGTTGAAGAAGATGAGACATGAGATCTTCTCATCTCTTCATTCAAGACACCACTCTTAGCTAGCATATTTCATAGTTATAACACCACTAGAAGCAAAATTAGTCAAAAAAACTCGAAAAGTTTAATAAAAAGCCAAAGTCTATGTATCTCTTCATCAAACTTTACATTCATTCCGGACAACTGGTCAAGAGCACCCTGAAAAATTATTAATATAATCAGAAGTAGGAGTGCCCTCTTTATACCTGATGTTCATCAATTGTTTCAATGGAAACAACTTATTGTTGCCAGTTTTTGGAGCATAAATTGTCTCGAGCTTGTCCCACAAACTTCTAGCATGGAATTTCTAACATTATCTTCAACCTATTGTCTGATATAACCACAAACCCGCAAGTGCTCAAATTCTCATTCCTCATTCTTCATGGACTGAGGTTTATTAGAAGCAAACACATGCAAATGTATTGACAAATAGAAGATCTTTCATCTTTTCTTTTCATGTATAATAGTTACTACCATTCAATCAAATCATCTTGCTCATTTTGTCCTTAATCATTCAAATTGATAATCAACAATAATCAATGCTATGATACCACTTTGTTGAGAAAGGTAATGCATTAACAAAGAATGCTTGACAAGATAGCAACAGAATAATACCTAAGTCTAAATTTTTCCTTTCAATTTAAATCAAGAGAAGAGAAACTAAATCAAGCACTACGAAGAATGGACATCAAGTGTATCAACCAAACAAAAATAAATCAATCACACAAGACATAAATTTACGTGAAAAATCCTTCAATGTGAAGAGTAAAAAACTACGTGACCAAAATACCCACTATAATCATCAAAATTTACAAAACTATTCCCTAAAATTGGCCACAAAACAAGTGTCAAATAATGAGCAACAACGAAAAAAGATTACACCAAAACTAGAGAATTAAAGGAAATGATTCACCCAAAAATGAGTTATTGTTCATACCCCAAAATCAGAAGCTATAGGCAACCAAATCCGATCTCTACCATTGAAATGCAAGAACCAGATTTTGCGAACTCCCAGTTCAAATTTGAGCATGATCCAACGGTTAATGAAGTGGAAAACTCTATTTAAAGCGGACTACCTACACAGAAATTTCCTAACGTAAAACGAAATTTCTCTCTTTCTCTCAATCTCTAAAACTGCTCTCTCTTGTGTGTCTGAAAATAAGACCTAAACAAGTCTTATATATATATCACATAATATTGGGTTTATGGGCAAAAGTGGACTGATCCAAATAATTTTTTCATTTATCCACATAGGAAGGGAAAAATAACCTAAACCCAACTATTCTCCCCTTCCACAACTATGTGGAGGGAAAATTGAGTTTATAAGTTCTGAATTTTGAATTATAAAAAGGATGTCTTATTATATTTTTAATAAATTATTTATTCATATTAAATGAAGTTTTAAACACAAATATAGAGCTAAAGTTATTAGTAAATTTTTCCCAACCCGTTAATAGGTTTGTAGATCCCCCTTGAATATTGATATTAGTCCTTCTCTTGAATAGTACCAACTTCAGCTTATTGAGGACAAGATTTGAAAGCTTAAGTATTGACATTGGAATCGAAGTGCTTCTCTCTCACTCTCATAAACACACATTATTCTGAACTTCGATGATAGAGTTGAATAATAGTTCAATTTGTTTGTGGTACTTTTCCTTTTAGCTAGTCTATTAAAAAGGGTAAAAAACTTAACTATACAAAATTAGCACCTAAATAACCACTATATAAAAATATTTATATTTTTCACCAACATAGCATTAGATTTTTTTTACAAAAAAACAATAAAATAATTTAAAAAAATGAAAAATAAATACTACGTGACAATCCACTATTCATTATTGAAAAATATTTTAATTCCTTAATTTCCTCTCCGTCTCTTATTTACCTTCCACAAATATCTCAAATATAGTTAATGTTTCTCTCTTATAACTCAAAAAGAAGGTTTTGTAATCAAAATCAAACTCTCTATCCCTCTATTTTGAAAGTGCATTCAATGGCAAATACAAACATTTTCTCAATTTTTATTTATCACGATAGAAGATGGAATGTAACAAGTGTCCACCATAATAATTGCTTCGATTATGATAGTTTGAATGTATTTTGGTGGTTTTATTGATTTTAATTTTTTTATAAACATATATTCGTATAGCTTTGGTGATTGGTGTTTTTATCTATACAACATAAATCATAACGTTCTCAATTAATTTGTACCATACATAGGTACTCACCTATAGTTAAATTATTGATTCGTTAGTGGTCTATGTATTGGTGTAGTTGATATATTTTAGATACATAGGTTCTTTAGTTTGTGGGGTATGTGTTGGTGTAGACAATATTTTTAGATATTTTATAGAGAAAATGGTCAAAAATCCCTCCAACCTATGGTCGAATTTTCAACTAAACACTCATATTTTACGGGGGTCCTATTACCCCTTTGAACTATTTTATAAGGAAATAAATTTCACCCTAAAATGACATAGTCACTCATGTGTATTGTGGTGTAACACACGTACATGCCATGTCAGCGCCATGTCAATGCCACCTAATAAATATAATAAATGAATTATTTTTCCTACTTTTTTAAAAATTATTATATGCCCCACTAGAAACCGTCCATTATCATTAAGAACATCACCATTATCAAACTCACTTCTCATCCATTGACATTCCGACAAGAGAAAAGACGGTAAATTTTTTCCGACGAGTAAAAATTTCTATGACCAATAACTTTATCCTATTCCCCACAATTTCTCTCAAAGTTCATTGCTACACATTTTACTCATGTTGGGGGCTTATGAAGGGATATACCCAAAGTAGTATATGGGCATGCCATAAATTTTGAACTCAATTTCTTTCTTTTCTTAATGTTGGTGAAAGTAGCAAACCAAATTAAAACATTGAAATTAATCCAATTGAAAAAAAATATGATCCAATTGATTTTTTTATGCCCCATTTCTAAAATACCCCAATTTGTGATTAAATTCAAGAATGTGAAATTAGAGTTAACGTTTGAGAGAAGAGCTTGTGAAGGTGTTGGAAATTGAAAATTTTATGTTTGTTTGAAATGGGTTCCGATAAAAAAAATTGAATTTTGAGTTCTTTATTTTATTACTTTGATTTGGGAGTAATAACTCAATTTGTTTAAAGGTTCTTTGATTATGTAAGAGACGGTTAATATGTAGAATTCCTGAAGAAATTTGTAGACATTTGTGATGAAAAATAAAAATAAAGCAAAATGTGAAAAAGAAGAAGAGGTGTAGGTTGAGTGTGAAGAAGAAGTGTGGGGCGGTTGGGTTGGGGTGGGGTGGGGGAGATTATTTTAATTTAATTAGAAAGAGAAAGAAAATAAAATAAAAATATGAAATAAACAAAAAAACAGCCCTATTTATTCTCTTTCCACTCTCTCAAAGAGAGTGAAATACACTTTCTCAGCCAACTCAGCATAAAGAGTTTATTTATTCTATTTTAAAACAGTTCAGGGGGGTGATAGGACCCCGGTAAAGTTTAAGTGTGTAGTTGAGAATCTGGTAAAAGATTGGGGGGCATTTGACCATTTTCTCATATTTTATAAACACCAATCTGTTTTAAATAAAATGGTGTATTTTTATGTTATTTATCGTGTTTATATGATGGTATTATTCATATAAGGAAAATAAAATTAACAACAAATGTAAAATGGATTTTATAAATTATTTTGATTAAGCATGAAAATTTGGTATTGCTTGTTATCTAACAATGGTTAGTTTTGCTACTGTCTGCTTATTTTGTGGTGCAATGATGGTGTACATCATACATTGTATATCAGTTTGAAGTGTATCCAAAATTGTAACCATAATATACACCATCTTAATTACTTAATTTAATTTATAATAAGAAAAACAATAGGTTTATACCATTCTATACTATAATATATACCAATATTTATACCAATTCTTCACATTATTTAAACCAATAAATTAATAATACCATTTTGTATCATAAATTATACCACTCTAATACACAAATTAGATTAAACTGTACACCAAAGCGTCACCATATTGTATATCATTTCTAATTAATTTATATTTTTTAAAAAGAATTCAAATAAGTGATTTTATTATGGTGTTACACATTGTTATAGATTAGTATTTGTCTAACTATTTATCGAAATGTGTTGTAGAAATGTATGTGAATTTCAAAATTGAAGGAATGATACATGACACAACACCAGATATGATAGCGTAATTAATATTATTGCTTCCCAATTAGAAATTGACACAACAATATTAGTTTAAGCCCAATGATTTATGTCTGGTATCAAGTTTGTACTAAATTTTAAAATTCGAATAACACTAGTGCTTAAAGAAAAATTGTTTTTTAAAATATTTAAAATTTCATTTTTTACGCTATCCCTAATCCTACCCTGCCCTAGCCACCCCCGCCAAAATCTTTTTTTTAGAAAAATATTTCAAATTTTAAAAAATTTATCATTTACGCCAGCCACCCCTATCCACCTACCCCCCCCCCCAAGCAGTCAATTTTATTTTAAAAAAATATTTTTGAAAACTATTTCAGGGTCGGAAGATCTCAGGGTCGAAATTTGGAACGGTCGTCGGGGTCTTGTCCTAGTTTGGGTGTTAGGGTCGGGTCCTAGATCGACTATCAGGTTTCATTTTCGGGTCAAATTTCCCAAAGAACATTTTCTAGTCTCAAGCCAAAAATAAAAGATATTTTCTGGAAAATGTTTTTCATTCACCAACCAAACATTAAAATATATTTTTCGGAAAATATTTTCTACTCACCAACCAACACATGAGAAAATAAGTTAGAAATCCAACTGTTTTTCAAGAAAACATTTTTAGGGAATTTTCCATGGAAAATGAAAACATTTTCCTTCGTACCAAACACACCCTAAGTCTTTAATTTATTACAATTTTATTAATTGTTTTCTCCCCCAACACCAACCCAATCCACATTCCACACCCACCAAAGAAATTGCCGGATAATTAATTTTCCCAAAATATATTAATTACAGAAATCCCACATTTTAGTGTACTTATTACCATTATCCCCTATAAGTTTTACAAATCTCTAAAATCCCTCATTTTCACACATCAAATTAGTGTATCTCGCGCATCAGATTAGTGTATCATGTATAAATTGTACATCAGATTAGTGTATCATGTATAAAATGTAATGTATCTTACTTAACGATTAATGTATCTCGCGCATCAGATTAATGTATCAGCGTTTACATTATCGTATCCGTTTGAGGGATTTCTGTAATTATAAACTTTTAAGGGATATATTGTAATTTTACCTTAAAAGTATGTGATTTCTGTAATTTGCCCATACAATTTAATATAATTTTTTGTAGAATCATTTGTCTTTATCTAATATGGAATATAATACAACTATTTAGATATTATTTAAATATTTGAGCCACCTTTAAGTCTCTTGACATAGACACAAACTTTCCAACTTGACCCACTTATTATAATCAAATAGTAATATTTATAATGACAAATATAATGATATAATACTATTTAACTTAACACTCACTCAATTACTCGATTATACATAACACTTGTAAAGGCATAAATAATAGAGGCCATATACTTAGTTTAATAAGAACAATTTTGTCAAACGCATAAATAAGCTAAAAAAATATTTATAACTTACTCGATTAAAGAGGATAAACCCAAGGTCAAGTTCGACGTCGTCCACGGTGACGGTCTTATCATGGCCGCCGATATAATGTTCCTTCTCATAAATTACAACTTTGACCCCACATTTTGCCAATTCATATGCAGAAATTAGTCCATTTATCCCTGCCCCCACCACACCTACTTTCATCTTTCTCACTTTGGTTTCAATTTATAACTGCAAAAATAATGAACTCGAAATATCATTATTGATTTTCTTATGTCTAAAAACAACATTTTTCTTGTTTATAAGAAAGTTATTTTCCTAATAATAAAATACGAAAAAAAATATATATTGTCATACCAAATACAAGTAAATACTATTTCCCTACTTTAATTTTCGAGAACCGAGTGAGACCAGAGGCAAAGTTAGAGGATCGAAAGGAGGCTTACCCAAATCCATTCATCGAAAAATCTAGCACCCTAGGAATATTACAAGGTCATGATTTTTTTTAATGTATGTTGTTCATACTAATGATGTATATAGTAATTAATGATGAATCTCAATGAAAAATTCTATACTAATTAATTCAAAAGGTATAAAAAAAAAAAGAAAAACAATACACAATCGAGTTAAACAAGTGAATCAACACTCAACAAAGAAAAAACATAGTATTGTACCTTCACAATATTTTATTAAATGTGGCAAACTTAAAAAATGATATACAATAAAAACTTTAGGTACTAGATATTAGTATATTACTCATTAGATGTGCATAACCATGAAAATGTACCTTAGGGATATTGGTGGAGTTGTAGAGACCTTAAACTGCAGGAAGAAAGCAAATGAAATGAAATGATAAGTATTAGAGTCTCCTTTTAGTTTATTTGTAGAAATTGATTAGCAAATCAAAGGGGAGTATATTTGTGGGTCCATCCCTCATTTCGTAGAGTTATCATACAATAAGAAATTATTTTACACAACAAGGCTTCACATGCCTATTATTTTTATCCCAAAGATCTATACCACAAAATAATTATGACAATAAAGTCAATGATATATACATGGCCTGAAAATTGTTTTCAGCTTTTAAAAATAATATTTTCTTCAACTTTGAATAATAATCAAAGTCTGTGTGTTATCCTAATTCAATCTTTAAAATGCTTATTATATTCTTTCATTATCAACTTTTTTTTTACTTCTTCAAAAATCATACTATATTTTCATTTTTTTTGAAATTCATGTGATAAATTTTCCATAAAATATAATCATTACCTTTTAGACGAAAAAAGTGAGAAATTCCTGACCTCAAAGTTGGATTATCGTTTTGCTCTTCCACTTAATTAAAATGATTAAATGTCTAATTAAATAATAATATTTTAATTACATAATAACATAATTTGAATTTCAAGAGTTGTAATTCTTTAGTTATGACATTACAAATTTCTTTTGTTTTCTACTTCTTTTTAGCTTTCATATGTTAAAAAACTTTTCATATCCTTTTACCTTCTATAAAACCAATAGCTTTAGTCTTTGGTCCATTGTCAATTTATTATAATGTTTTGTTCTTTAAAATGCTCAAAATTTGGTGTATGCACAACATTCTCTGGATAAAGGTATATTCTTTTTATATTAGTTTCTTCAATTAACTTTCCTTTAAGTTGTGTAGACCTCTGTTTTGCTTTTAATAATTTTTATTCTCTTTTGCTCTTTGTTGTTCATTGCTTGCATCTTCAATCTTACGTGACTTATTTTGCTTGGTCTTCTTTTGAAATTCTTGCATTTGCCCAATTTTTTCCTTTTAAAATAAATAAATTTATACCAATTAACATAGAATACACGTGCAATGCACATGTTCGAGAACTAATTTATTATAATCATAATGATTTTATTCCAAGAAATCAGTCTTTGTTAAAATGGCATTCCACAATTTGCTAACACCTTCACACGTAGAAAAATGAATAATTTGACTCCTAGCAACCCTTCTAACAATATACATTCATGAGGTGGTGTAATTTCATAACCATAATCATCACAATATTCATCTTCTTATACAATATAATCAACATATCCATAGTAATCATTCTTCAATAATCTTTATGCCTACTAGGACATATACAAATTAAAATTGGAACCATTTAGATTCTTAACTATTCAATATTTGAAATTCACTAGCTCGACTAGAGATATCCTATTGCTTTACTAATAAGAAAACTATAAAAGGACAGAGCGGTGCACAAAAAATTCTCCTCTTCACACAGAGTTTAATAAAAAGATGCAACCCAATGAGGTGTGATATACGCAGCCTACCTTGATGCAAGACTCAACAGCTGATTCCACGACTCAAACCTGTAACCTATAAATCACATTGGTAGTTAATTATTTTTCTCCAAAAATTTAGTCTTGGTTAAAATAACATTCCTCATTCTACTAAGATCTCTTCCCTTAAGTGTCCTCCCAACACCTTCACACATAGAAAGAGGATCAATTTGACTCCTAGCAACCCTCTTAGCCAAATATTCATGTGGTGGCAACATTCCAATATCATCACAATCTTCATCTTCTTCAACACTTCCACTGTAACTATCATTCTTCATGAATGTACTTGATGATTTCTTCTTGTAAATCTTGGACCTATGAGGAATGTTAATAGGAGTTGATGATTGTTTTGGCACATGAGTAGATTCATTGTTGCTAATTGTAGCAAGTTTAGCTATTGGGATCATCTTTGAAGTAATGGATAGTTTCTTCTTCACAACATGTTGATTCCATACATCTTCTTGAAAATCTCCATTAAATGCCATTGATTTTCCTTTACTACAAAATAAAACTCTATCATGAATCATGATGTTGCCAATAGGAGGGAATTTTTTAAAAAATACAAATAAAGAAGAGAAAACACTATCATGAGTTAATTCTCACAAAATTTCAAGAATGAGTATGAAAAAAATTGGTTTCTTGAATGAGTCTTTAAGTTCTATGTATTGTTGGTATAAAAATATTTATACAATCAGGCTATGTTGCTAGAACACTTCAAAATGTCATTGAGTGTGTGTCGAATCCTTCTAAAATAATCCTTTTTTGGAGAATCCAACGCGATTGTGGCAACAATTTTGAAGAGTTTAAGCAACATAACTTGCTTGTGTGTATATTTTTTATATCGACGATAGATAGCACTTAAAAATTATTAAAGAAATCAACATTTTTCATACAATGTCACGGTTGTGTATCGAATCCTCCACAAAATATAGAATTTTTTGAGGATCCAACATGAATGCAACAACAACATAACAATCAAGTCATTAATAAGATAATAACATATAAATCACTATAACATACTTGAATTGATAACCTTTCAAAAAAATGCTACTACTAACCTGATAGTATAAAAAATATTTTCACTGACGATGTATATAACTATTACTTTGTGTACTAAGAACCAATTAGCAAAATTTCCCAAATATTTATAGGTATAGTTGGATTTTCTTGAAAATCATCAAACACAAGAACCTTCCTTCACTTTTGGCCAAATAGCTCTTAAAAAAGGGGAACTTTTTAATCCTTTTTTCTAAAAAATGGTACATTGAATTGAATAGCATATTCCACTAAAATTCCAGAAATTATTTTACTGTGGGTTTTACAAAATTCCAAAAATGAAAGAAAAGAAATACACAGATTTCAAATGCTTATATTATAAGGAAAAAATGACAAAAACAAAGAAATAATGAATAATAACCATAAATGTCACGACCCGGGAGCACCCCCTAGTCGTAACCGGCGTACTCGACCTCGAAGAGGTCTAATACAAGCCTCTTAGCATTCATTCATCGCATAGACACCAAAACCATAAGGAATTAAAAACTTTCTTCACACACGAAGATACTTTCAATAAATAGCAAGCGGAAGACTTTCTAGACTTTATACAATATGTCTCAAAACCATCTAATACCTGAATATAACATTGGGACTAAGCCCACTCAAAACTTAAGCAAATACTAGAGAGACATAAAAAAAGGAACATGTTGGTTATTGCCCTCGAATCTATGAGGACTCACCAAGTCTTCATCTTCAACTCTTAAAAACCTAACAAGTAGCCATGACATATCACCATCTCCAAATCCCTACACTTTAGTCAAAAAGCGAAAGAAAGGGGTTAACACAATTAAGTACTAAGTATGGAGACCATGCAGGAAAATATGCACAACGGACATTTACAAGAAATGTATGCTTTCATATCCTTTGATAAAACCTTTCCGTTACAAGTATAAGAGACATAATACAAGTCAACATTAACATATAAGACCATAGCCAACCATACATATACTTAACATAAATCCATATACAACCCATGCTTAACTTTAGAAGGACACATGTCATTTTATTACCATAGGACCTCTACCTAATATAACCTTAAGACACACTTGAGTGAGACAAGAAGTGACCGCCCACACGATCCTCTTCAAGCACACTTAAGTGTTCCCCAAGATTACCTTAGATAAGGACTTTATAGGCAACGTGCATAATCATACCCGATAGATAGCATATTAATGAGATGATATGTATAATGATGCTTACATAAAATAAATCATATTTAGTGGGGCGTAGTACATGTGTGGTGAGTGACCATCAATATAGTATTTCCAAGGCCTACCACCCCCTTGGAGAGGCGAAAGAGGTACAAACCCCTCAATGTGGTTACCCGGGCCTACCACCCCCCGAGCTAGGGACCAAGGTACAAACCCCTCGATATGGTTATACGGGCCTACTACCCCCTGTACTAGGCAACCAAGGTACCAACCCCTCGATATGGTTATACGGGCCTACTACCCCCCGTACTAGGCAACCAAGGTACCAACCCCTCGATATGGTTATACGGGCCTACTACCCCCCGTACTAGCCAACCAATTCCAAAATCCATATAAATCAGCCCACCAACAACATACATATATATCAACCTTCATAATTTGATCATGGAAGCATGAAAACCATAAACATCACATAATAATTCCATTTCATGATAATATGCAAAATAGACCATAATAGGATGTGTAGTAGTAATTCCATAATTCAAGAGTTCATAAATAATCATAAGGACCCATAAACTTGAAGTAGAAATAGAGGATAAATGGTTGGACTTGTGGAAAAGAAGGTTTCCACAATCAAACCCACATACCTCAACTTGTTCATGAGTATATCAACCTTAGAAATACAATTAC